CTAAAGACAGAATGAAGTTCTAATCTCACTTCCAACATTTACTAGCTGTGTTGATCTTGGTCAAGATATTTAACTGCTCTGCCCTTTTTTTCTCATCTATAAAATTAGGGCAAGAATAGTTCCTACCTCATAGGGCTGCTCTGAGGACTAAATGAGATGACTCCTAGAAAGCACTGAAAGACACATACAGCTAATAATCAATAATATAATCACGTGAACTGGAGGAGGAGAGTGTCCATGGCATAAAAAACATATTTAAAAATGGTTCCTTGCAGCCACTAGGGAAAACAGATGGAGATTTCTCAAAAAATTAAAAATAGAAATACCATATGACCCAGCCATGCCACTACAGGGTATTTATCCAAACAGCTTGAAGTCAGCAATTTCAAAAGTCCCATGCACCCCTATGTTCATTGCAGCATCATTTACAATAGCCAAGACATGGAAGCAATGTAAGTGCCCATCAACTGATGATTGGATAAAGAAGATATGGTATATATATACAATGGAATACTACTCAGCCATAAAAAAGAATAAAATCGTCCCACTCACAACAACATGGCTGGACCTTGAGAGAATTATGTTAAGTGAAATAAGCCAGATAGAGAAGGACAATCTCTGTACGACTCCACTCACATGAGGAATTTAAACATGTAGACAAAGAGAACAGATTAGTGGTTACCAGGGGAAAGGGGGTTGGGGGTGGGCACAAAGGGTGAAGAGGTACACCTACAACACGACTGACGAACAGTAAGGTACAACTGAAATTTCACAAGATTGTAAACCATCATAAACTCAATAAAAATTAACTTTAAAAAAAAAAAAAGGCTCCTGCACAGATCTATGAAGCAATTACACATTTGAACACATTGCCCTGGAACAGAACAGGGGATAGAATGCAGAATGATGATGCAACAAGGCAACTATCTGAGTCCAGAATTTGGTCTTCTGAATGGCATAGCAAAAGGAGAAGCAATTTAAAGGAAAAATGGCGAAAGTTCTAGCAAAGATGTAAAAGCAATACTTTGGATCAGCAAGGAAAGAGTGATAATAGAGGCTGAGGGGATGTCCAGGCAAAGATCACAAGAGATTACTATTTGTGACTAATGTTTGAGTAAAATAAGATAACGGGGCAAATATACGTGAAATTTCACACAGCGCTGTAGAAAGAGATCTAAGCCCAGCTTTAACTAGCTTTTAGGTACCCATGAAATAAGGAGATTGGACCATATAACCTCTAGGGTCTTTTATGGATGTGGCAGCTTGTGAAATTTCCAATCTGTGCTGTGGGATTGGGAGTGAGAAGAGGGGGAGGTTGTGATCCCTGAAAATTCCAGGTGGTTGAAATAAAAAACAAATCTAGAACTAAAAGTTATCAGCATGTAGCTGGTTTCTTATAGAGCCATCTATGGCTAATGGAAGAAAAGGGGGGCAATGGGTGCTTTCCCAGAACCTCTGCTCCAGTGAATATCGTATTAAATATTGGCATTCACAAATGAGGACGCCAAGGAATGAGAAGGAAACAATACAGATACAGGATGATGGACAGATGGATGGATAAGTGTCCAAAGTCAGGATATTCAACCATTGGATTTAATTTCTCTGAAGATCATTGTAAAATAGTACACTTTATCACTTTCTGTGTATGGTTTTAAAAAAATCTTGAGCCAGTCCGTTACTGCCATGAAATATATTTCAAGGCTGTAGTCTTCCAATTGGCATTCATGGGGATGAAAACAAATGTAAACATTTGCCCAAGGAAAACAAAACCGACATGTTCAAATAATTAAAATTCCTTCCAAAGACAAGGCTATATTAATTCTGAGTTATTTGAATTCTGCTGGCCCCTGACTTCTTTTGTACAAGTAGATAATTGAAAGTTCCCTATACATATGTCAGTAACGCAACCAACACTGAGCATTTTATTTTGGTTAAAATTTGGGGGAAGGAAAACTCAAACTGGGTTTCATCTATTAATTCAACACCTTTACGGACACCTACATGCCGAGCACTGTAGCAGGTGCTTTTACACATTTTCATCTATACATTTTCTCATTTAATCCTCCTGACAATTGTGTCGTTTTGGCAAAAGAAACTTTGTTTCAAGAAGTTAAAACTCATTAAATTCTTACTGTTAGTAAGAGGTAGAGTCCTCCGGGAATTCGTAATCTACTTGAGCAGGCACGTCCCTCAATAAAAATGTTAAAGCAAGTGCCGTCACAGACATCCACTAGGCAGAGTGGCTCCCAGAGGAAGCCCTGGGTGGGGCTTTAAAAGAATGAATCGAACTTTGACAGGTAAATATTGGGCTGTGAGAAGGAGAGGAAGTGGAAGAGAAATTCAAAATAGATGAGAAATTTTCCCAGAGGCACAACGGCCAGAGAACGTGCTGTAACTGATTGCCGGGGGGGG